TCCCTCCCACACACAGGCTGTACCGATATTGGTGCACCACTGGTTTAGTTTCAGAAGTGAGCTACTGCGCAACAGCTCTGGATCACCGATGTTCTGCAATATACGGCCCATATGTGCTGTGCTTATGGGCACATTTAGTGCACGCGCACCCCAAATGCACGCGCCATAAACACACGCTCACTGCTCAAGATTGCGGTAAGATTAAATGGAAATGAACTATTCGAACGTCACGACCGAAAGCAATCAGCTGCTTAATGGCCCCGATCGAAGGCGCGCAATCACGATCGAATCAGGTCCACGATCAGTGGCAGCGGCCCATCACAATTTGTGTAATTGCCGGGGGAACGGACCTAAAATTCAGGCGGCAGGATCGCGCAGTCGCGTCGAGAATGAGAGAAAAAAATGAGCGCTGTGAAGTGTTTCGAGCACCTCAACCACGGTGCGGGAGAACCGGATCATCCCATCTGTTGTCCAAGCGGCGAGGAGGAGTCGAGCGTGCTGGCGACGATCCAGCTGTGTAGGATCGAGTCGCCGGGGAGAACCCCTCGCTGCTGCTGTCTCGGAGTAGCGCGGCGCGCTAGACCATTTCTCTCTCCTCGCGCTTGCGAAAGCTGAGCAACCACGCGTCACAGAGGAGCACGCGCCTGGTGCGGGGGAGCTCGGCGCATTTCTAGCAGCTGTGCGCACCTAGCTGGCCGATGGCGCGTGCACCGTTCAAAGCGAAGTAGAGAGCAACGCGGAAGTGGGTCATCACACGCCGTACGGCCGAGCCAATTTTAACCCCCCCTCCCCAGTACGCGCGCACATGCCGCGACTGGAAAACCAACATTTGAGGCGCGATTTTTATCAACGTATATCGCGCGACGGCGTGCGCCTAATCTCTTAAGGGGAAAGACCAGCTTCGCGAGCTCGCGCAACGCGCTAGGCGATCGACCGTGGCGTAATGATGTCGGGACAACGAGTTGCATTGTTCGCGATGCAAGAAATGGGCAGCAGATAAGCACCTGAGCTCTTACAGATGCGCAGGTCAACGGCAGTATGAACTCGGTGCAGAGTGCATTCGGCGTTGATGTACGTACCTACAGTACAGAGTGGACCCTTAAGTCGAAGTCCACACGCAGTCTTGCAGCCAGCCGCATGCTGTATCTGAGCATTGGCATTTTCGCTCAAAAGAAGCGCGGGCCGAGATCCATCCTCAGCGGTCTTCCTTTCGTGAGGCCCCTATTTGGAGCCTTCTATAAATGTACGAGCAGCGGGCGGGCGCGTGTGGAACCGTGGTGGTGTGTATTTACTTGACGGCTTCCCTCGCGTCGTTTTCGAGTGTCTTCGGCGCGGCGCAAACCAGCTTGCAGAGAGCCCACTCGGGCGGATATCCCACGCCGACCTGCACCGACCGGCCGGCGCGGGGAAAGCGACAAAAATCTATTGTTCACGCTCGCACCACGCTCCAACGGTCATCGCGACAACGGAACGGGATATCGGGTCGCTTCGCAGCAGCAAGTCGGTGCGCTGCTCGATATGCCGTTTCCGACTCGCTGCGGAAGTGCCCCGATCGAGAGCCATTCCGTGACGCCTCATAAAGTGTCCGTAAGCTCCCAAGCACACAGGACGTCACGTAGCGACGTGCTAGAAAGCAAACATAACAACAACTGCACTACTACACCAATCTTCGAAGCAGCGATACAAAAGCTTCGAACGACAGTTTCCAGCGATGACCCGACAGCGACGTTCACAGTGCAGCGGACGTAGTACAAAACGGCGAATTCAGTTGAATCGCAGCCTGGTAGAACACACGAAAGGCGTCGAAATCGACGCATTACGGTACCGCACCACGATCCTGCACGCATCATTACACCCCCACCAGGGCCGCTCCATCGATCTTGCACTTTCTACGACACCCTGCAGCAGGGGCCTACCTGTCCGAACTGTTTTCGAAGCCGTAAATATGCTGCAACGCCAGTTACCTTTTTTCGAAAGATAGCGAGGGCACTTACCCCGACTGGCCCCGTCAGTTGTTGTTACGCGATGAGGCCGTGCAGCGGCTTCGCCGCGAGTCCCATAACAACAGCTGCAGCTGTTCTCCAGGGGTCTACTGCGACGTCGACTGGTCGGCCTCCAACACGTAGCGCCGCGCGCGCGTTCTGACGTAGTTTCGAAACCGGCCGCCGACGTCGGTCGTCAGCGCTAGCGCAGCCAGCTAGTGTGTGCGTGAAGTGCCGCCGCTGGCATTGAGACGCACGCACACACGTCATTACCGAGTCTGTCATTCACTCCGGAAACAGGAATACGCGGCAACGTGGTAATAAAACAACAGGATAAAATGCAATAAAGCTGCGGGACGTTCGCGTGGGCGAGCAAACACCTTGCTTCGCCCCTCTGGGACGCATCAATCATGCACGACGTACAGATATAAAACTGTAAAAAATAAAAACGTGCCATGTACTAAGCCCGTATGAAATGACACTGTTGAAAACTGCAATTTCTCGCACGTTGAAAGACACTGAATTTCGTTTAAAAAAAGTGGTTTTTGAGTTGGCTTCTCTGCGCAATAGTCAAGCATTGCAGCATAGCCAATTTCTATGACGCAAACATGCCTTTATTATGCAAGAGGCTGTATGATGTAACATGTATTGAAAGCAGCTGTTACAAATACGGGCTGTTGTCCTTGGCGTTTATATAGCCAGCTCATTCGCATCGCGTCATCATGCACGCACAGGTGTTTTTATACAATATAGGACATTTATCTATTCATTCACTCATAATTTGACCTTTAATCACACTTTGTCTATTGGTAGCTTCGCAAAGGTAACGGGGATCATCGGCACTATAATAACCAAGTGAAACTGAGAAGTTAATCTTACATTGAGTATTTTAAGCACTATAGCTTCAGCTTGTGAATATATATGCTTTTTACATCCAAGCATACAGCGGTAAAATAAAGAAATGCATACTTCAGCTATGACCTTTTACATATGCAAAGCTGTCGTGGCCATTTTATTAGAATGTGCGCGGCATGATGAAATTGAACGAAATGTCATGCCTTATGTATGACATGTATACAAATCAAACTGCCATTTATAGCCTGATGCAACACTGAAGTATAATCTAGCCTAAGAGCATCAAAGTATCACGGGTATGCCTGATGCACTAATATCACGTATCCACCTACGTGGTTCACACAATGACACCTATTTTCAACGCTTGGTTAAAAGCCAAGTAATGTGGCAAAACCAGCTTCCGGCACAATGCTTGCATTGCCGCAGTGTGCGAGACCAGCTGGAATATTTTTTTCTACTTGTTCTTTCTGCAGTCCCAGAAAAACTACATTAACTTAAAGAGGTATGATGTACAAATGTACACAAAGCCTGTTCGCCAATTAGCGGTCATCAAGTGTGTGATTTTTGGCCGTTGTTTTCACAATCCTTGAGGTTTCTAGAGAAAATTTCTAATGTGAGCTCTTTCACTGCAGTGACGACATTCCTGGTCACTTTTTGCTAAACGAGCTTCAGGATATATTATGCTCGCCCCATCTGGAGAACACACACTTAAAAGCAATTTAAAGCACTGCATGAAATTTCCTGCTACCTAGCAGATATTGTATGAATGAATTAATAAACTTTAATTAGGACTAGTTTGTTGGTTTTCTTTTGGTGTGGGTAGGAAAAGAGGAAATCAACGCCTGTCCCGTCCCACCCTCCATTGATGATGATGCGGTGCCTCAGGCGACAGCTCAAAGTCGTTGGACCCTCGATGGGGACTGATGCGCACAAAAGACAAGAAGGAACACGCTTTGCCTATCCCTATGTGTTCCTTCTTGTGTCCCAGTCTTTTGTGTGCATCAGACCCCACCAAGATGAATAACCACAAAGCGCAGGTTGATCCTTGGACTTGGGCGGCATCTTTAACTTGCCAGCCAGCCCAAAGCTGGTCAGTCAGTTTTGGGCATATTGTGAAGGAAATACTGTGAAAGAATTTTTTATGATTACTTTGCATTAGCTTGGAGTTTCTGCAGCTAATAAAGCTCAAGACAATGTTCCGCAGACGACAGATCCTGGAGGCCTAGCCCGGGCCAGTAATTCCTCGTTGGATCCATAATAAAGTTTATCACCTACCTATCTATGATGGGTGTACTACAGCAGTAAAAAAAAAAAAAGCAGTGCATGTGATACCTATTTCCTCCACTTTGGTGACTTGGTATATTCAAGGACACAGCGGACTTAAATGTAAGGTTATAGGAGTGGAGTTGCACACATTGAACTTTTTATGCCACGGTACAGCAGCCAAAACACAAAGCATGGCAGAAGCATTACAGTGGAGCTGGCAAGCGTTTCGTTATGCTGTGTGGCAATACCATAAAACTATCATCATCATGAAATGTGCCCTTTTTTTCATCTTGTGTTTCACTCCCAAAACATGTGCGCTATGTCAAGTGGATGAGAGAACGAGCCCTGAGAGAGACGAAGAGAAGTAGAGAGAATGAGTACAAAGAATGGGAGAAAAAATGAAAAGACAGAGAAAGGAATAGACAGAAAGGAAAGAGAAAAAAAAACCTTCCAAAATAGAGAAGAGAGCTAGCATAGCAATGTATAGTATAGCATAGCAAGGGGTGGAAAAGGAAAGTTAGAATAACAAGAAAAAGATGAGAAGAGGGCAACGCCACCAGCTCTACTGCTTTCCTTGTCTTCGCATCACTAGCGCCCAGCTGCCCCATTTTCATGTAGTATTTATTCAATCGAGCGATCGCAAAGAAGTGTTGCAAAAGATGGGAAATGTCTCTTCTACTGTCTATATTGCATGCATCCCACATTTTGCATTGTTCAGTCCTCTTGAACAATATATTATTGCTTGGTACACAACAAGTGCCATCTTAGCAATTTGGGGTGGGTTTGATATGGCCGAGTACTACCTTTTCCCAAATCCTCTTTACCGTGAGTCGTTGGTTCAGGATTGCAGCTTGCTTGAACATTCTTGAAAACTTCGCAGAAAATTGTGGCAATTCATTCTAGATGGAAGCAATAAGCTTTTATTTTCAGTTGTCTTAACATTCATGCTTAAGAAGAAAGGAAAGGGACATTGAATATATCTCTTATAAAGATTATGAATGCAAAGGAAAGGGTTTCTGCATCTCAACTTGTACTGCAAGAGTTGCCGCACTAGTAATTTTATTTCAATACCTATTTTTTGTAACTTCAGTCACTGTACATGTTGCCATGCAATAAAGGACATGTGAAAAAATCTAATAGACATATTTTTTAAGAGCATGCTTCTTCACTAGTTAAAACATAAAACATGCTTAGGTTAAAAGACAGACAGCATACAGACCTCTGTAACGCAACTTGATTCGCATCTTCAACGTACATAACTTAAGTAGCATTTATTTTCTTAATATACTGCATTCACATACATAGTACACTTTATTGAGCTAACCACAGTTTTTTGATGCAATGCTGAGTGCAAAAAAATATGGTGTTCACACGCATACAGAAATCCTGTACATGACTCATGTGCTTTGTTCATTAGACAGAGAAGCTGCCAACAGCAGTGCTAGTGAAAACGTTGCACAGTAATTTTTACATCAAACAAAAGAAGATTGCGAGTGGTGCTCGTTAGCAATAATGAGTAGGCAAGCATCCAGTATGTAACGCTACTGATGTGGTTAACGACATTGCGCTTAAGCACAAGCATTCGTTCCTTATGCAGATAACAGGTGAAGTATGGTATGTATAATGCACACTCTTCAGTTACAATACTGCAGCAAAAATATAAAAAACACCGTGTTAGCACTACAAAAACAGTGAAATTAACAATGTGCTGCACATGAGCTAGGCAAGACCTTCAGCCATAATGTTTGCATCGTGCAATTCTCAAGCGCTTGGATTGACTGGAATGATGCCTCGCCATTTTCATTTCCAGTACTGGTCACTAGCTGCAACAGGTGCTAAAAGGTGATAGAATCAAAGAAAAATATGCATTCTTGCATAACCTGGCCCCAGACAACTCATTTTTCTCAACTGAGCATTGTTTGACAACAGTTTTCTGGCTGGGTAGGTTTTCAACACACCTAGGAGCATGTCGTCCGTAAATGTGAGCTTGATTGAACAGCAAAGCTGGAAGCTTCAAGGCTGAGGGTTGAAAAATTCGAGGGTTCGAAATGTGGAGGGAAGATTTAAAGGCACAAAATGAGACAAATGAATGCTGCTGTGACACAGTACTTCACGAGATGCATTCACAATAAAAGCACAGACACGCCATACATCAGTACAATATGTGGTTCAGCAATGACATCCAGTATTAATATCTGACACAGTTCCCTTGCAATGCAGCAGAGGGTCAGCATTAGCTTGCCGTTTCCTTCTTTCGCTAGTTTTCATAGAATTGTACAAGTACACATTGTCACACACAGCGGACCCAGCATGAGACTGAGCAAATGTACAGAAGCCATCACCTAATGACACAAACAGATAGCAACAAACAAGGGCATCTGCTGATAAAATAGTTCTAAAATAATTGTACGTCATGTCTCTGGTATCACCGTAACTGACTGTAAAGTCTATCAAAAGTACACACGCCATCTTAATTATGTCCGCGAGGCTAACTACAGGCAACTAAGCCTGATGTACATGTCAGGCTCAAATTGGCCGTAAATTTAAAATAACTTTCACGCTCACCAACCTAAATGTATGGAGTGTCAGAAGGACCATGGGAGATGCACCACACAGACAAAGAAATGTGTGATAAAAGTACGGATCAAAGGCTATGCACATACTACAATGTTCATCTATTAACATGATTGCACACTGTTGACTTTTGCAAATGAGAGCATTCTGAAACATGAACAATAATATGCAATACATGCTTTAAAACCCCAGGAATGCTTTCACAAAGGTTGCAAGGTATATTAAATGGAATAAAAAAACTATGCAATCTCATTAAAAGCGAAGTTGCATCTCACATGAAAACAAGTTCACTATATCTGAAAATTCGCTGCAAAGGTATACACCTAGCACCATATTTATTTCAAGACTATTCTTCATTTACGTTGTTACAACCAATATTTCGTTATATCCTGGTTTGTTATATTGCGGTTTAAATGCATTACCTATCTGTATGCAATGGTGTGCAAAACCTTGTGGTCAACGGAAGCGCACTGCAAGACTCGAATCTACATTCTAAGTGCTTACTAGCTGATGAACAAAAGGTGTTGAAAAATACATCTGTGTTATGCCAATTAATCTAGCACATGAATGAAACTCATTGAAATGACTGAATGACAAGATTGTACACATAGCTCCTTGTATAATGAGCTCTTAGTGATACAAAAGTTCCGATAGCTTCAAAGGAACCGCTTCGTACGTACAATTCAGTGACAACCTAACAATGCAGTATGTGAATGCAAATAACTCACAGGGTCTCTTATGCGTTCTTCATAGATAGGCAAAAACCACCTGTATCGATACTCCCCGGCCTCCCACCAAAAGCTTTCTACATCTAAAGTGTTTCTTCACTGCCTCCATGCTCAGTCCATTTGACCAAGCAACGATGTCATGTCACGATGCCGTGATTTGACAACAAGATGACGTCACAAATTTCAGCAATTTGTGACGTCAAGATCTTTTCGCCACTCGTGTTTACCCTGGTGCTGGCGATGAACTTTTGCGTTTGATGAGGCATTTAAAGCTTTTGCAATTAATACTACTCCACCTTTTTTTACTTTATGTTTTGCACAATCTGATGATGTGCATTCATTTTCATGGTGTCAGAATAAAGGCAATCTTTTTCGATATGGGCATCATTAGAGATTAGCAAGATACACAGTGCAGTTTTGAGGGTGGAGCTCGCACTGAACCTTTGGTTGTCACCACGTGCAGTAAAACAACCAAATCTATGCCCAGCCAGAATAACCGTAAAGCAGAGTTTCTGCAATAGGTCATGCTTGTCTGGAAAAATGCAGTTCAGTGGTGGGCTGCGTTTTTGTGCAGTGCCTTGCTGGAGGCAATAGAAAGTATTCCTCTTATGTACGACAGATAACGATAATGACCAACGGTGGTTCACATGACAAACGCGTAATGTGTGCTAAACCGTGTGTGCGATCATCGTTGTGTCATGCTAAAATCAGGCTTTTTTCAACGAGCCTGTGATATACACCCTGCATTTGCATGAGCTGCGCATGTGTCCCCTGCTCCATGATTGTACCATGCTCCATGACTGCGATGCGGTCCGCCACCTTGATGGCAGATAGCCGGTGACTTATGATGAGGCAGGCGCGTTCCCCCAGGTTTTCCTTCACCGCTTCCAAGACAGCCTGGAACCGATCAAATTAAATAGTGAGGCTCCCTCTCATTCTGAAGCAGAGCATAGGCTGCGAAATATGGAGTAGTAGTGATATTTGGATGACACCACAAGGGTGTTCAACAAAGCACAACCAAAACATTGATGCAGGATAAGAACGAGAGATGCGTGCATTAGCCGCTAACTTTCACCGTGCGTATGCATTATGTTTGTTCTTCCTCTGGATGCCTGTAGTAGTTTTGCTACACCGAAAACCTCTGGGTGACAAACCAAGAGCCAGAATAGTTGCCCTGCTGGCCCTGCATCACTTGGCCAGTGTTTAGATCTTGTAGGGTTTCTGGCTGCGGCTAGCCTGAGAACCCCTCAGAGAAAAGACAAACCAAGAAGTCTTTACTTGTTGAAGCCTCGGCTGCAACTGCCCGCAGACAGCGGCTAGGGCATGTCACGAGTGCACCCGCGATCCTTGTCCTTCTCTTCTACGATGAGCGCTCTCGCGGCTACTCCTCCCATAATAATTAAGCTTTGCTCTGTCTTGTCCACTCCGCAAAAATAAAGTGCTACAAGCTTCCTTTGACAAAGTGCCTCACTGCGGGGAAAGAAATGTAGAAAGTCAATGAGTTCACAATATTCACACCGCAGGCCAGGGCCTGAAAAACTTAATGTGTGGAAAGTTTTCAACCAAACATGTTTCCAACTTTATTCTCAATGACTTGCAACTGCTGGCCCTCAGCAAATCACCTCACTGAGAATATGCAGAGAGTAATTCTTAAATTATATGTCACATCAAAGTGAGCTAATCATGCTTATGATCACAACATTAGTGCTGTCTTTTTTAAACCTAAAGCATGAGAGACCGTTAGCCGTTTCAATGACACCACATCAGTGATGCATCTTTATGTTTGCCACCCTCTCCACGTTGACATGGCACAAAGCTTATGAGCTCCAAAAAAAGTTTCTCAATCTGCTGTATAGGTATTTATAGAAGCACAATTCTATCTTTTCCCTAACTTGACGCAAGCCCTTGTTCTTCAATTCAATTCAATTTTATTTCATCCCAAGGATGAGGGCAGGCTCGGGAGAAAAGTGACGTTTTGTCACTTGAGGAGAACCCGAGCCTCCCTAATACATGGCAAGCAACGTGGACATGGGTGAAGAAACATAGGCCATGAACATATAGGCAATGAACATAGGCCATGAGATGTTTGGTGCAGTACAAGTCGGAAGATGCACGTACAGTAATGCTATGTACAGAGACTAATATGCGTAAGTAGTTTCTTTCGGCACAAATTCCGAAGTACAATGCAAAATATGACAGAATACAAAATACTATATATATGACAACAATGCTATGCATAGAAATTGCGTGTACACACATACACATAAATATACACACATATATGTAGATACATATACACACATATATATGTGCATATACATACATATATATACATATACACATATAGATATATATATATATACAGACAGTTTCATGAATGCCTGGACCACCATTTTCTCAATTTTCACGATAAAAGCACTTCCCTAATGTCACGTGCACTGCATTTCTCAAGGATTATTTTTGCCTAGAGTAATTTATTTAATAACAAAGAAACACTAAAACACAACATTTGTCGCCCAAAATTTGTTTTACAAAATGGAAGGTTCCAGTGTTGTTGGTGACGAGTAGGGTACAGAATAGCATGCATTTCCAGTACAAAGATATCTAAGAAGGCACGATTGTTATGAAAAAGAGATTGCTTATATCTTATTGCTAGGGAATACTCGTAAAGTTTGTGAATTGGGACAATATTATAGCACTGAAACAATTCATCAGTGTGTGCATAGTAGTTGACATTTGCTATAAACCTGATCGCTTTTTTTTGTAGTCTATATATTTTACTTATGTTGGTTGCTGTCGTACTTGCCCATACCAAAAGAAAAAATTTTACATGCGACAAAAACAAGCTGTTATAAAGTGTTAGTTTAACAGAAACTGGAAGAAAATAACGCACTCGTACAAGTATGCCCACACATTTTGATAGGTTGGTAATTAGATTATTATTCTTCAAGTGTAGCTGCATGATCCTCTAAAATCACTGCTTCTGTGGCACCTTCAACCGTTGATGGAAGCGGCAGCTCGTTTGATCCTAAATACAAGACTAACCCAGACTCAAACGAAGACAGCTTGCTGTATGATGAAGGGACAACTATGAATGCATCATATTCTGACCCCTGCAATATGATGATGAAACAGAAAAAAGCATGTACTGAGAAGAACGGCACTTTGTTTTTAGTAAGCTGCGCATTTTACTTCAGATGTGAAGCAGCTTTTTGACTAGCCTGTAATGCTGTCCGTTCGTACAAACGCGCCGAGTGCCGCAGGTGTTGGCGAGGTGCCAAGTAAGTCACGCTGCTACGCGTTGATGTCACTCTCTCCCTCGCCTGACACAAGCTTGCTGTGGCGCCGGCAGCCGACGCCTCGTTTGTTCGCCCGCAAGACCTGCCGTGACCACCACTTGGTACACCGCCAAATTGTCGGTTCACACGCAATAAACCTGATGTGCGTCTAACGTTTGCATTGAAACACGTCATTGTCACATACAAGACCTACGCCAGCCATCACTTCAAACTAATCTTCCAGCGCTCACCGCAGCACCCACGTTAGCGCCGTTCAACCCATAATGCCACCCGCGCGCAACGCTGCTGCTTCGCATCCTATTAGGGTTCCCTTCGAGGAGATGGTCCAAGTTTTTTTTTTATTATTGTCAGACAGAAAGGTGAAAGCACATCCACTGTTATTCCCATTTTTTACCTGCTGCATATCCAGAGATAAGTAGCTGTGTTTCTTTTATAATATCAGAGAAAAAAAAAGGCACTGAGACTGCATAACTTCTAAAAGAATTTGACACTGAAGGGGTTAAACAAATGAAGACAAAGATGTAGAGCGGTACACAATTATATTAATGCATTGTGGTGTGAAATTATGTGAAATAGTTTCAACTAATGAATACATGTCACCAGCACAACCAAACTGCATTGAGATAGCCTCAGGGTTCACGTGTCAGCAAAAGCCCGTGAGACAATACATACTGATGCAATGAGCGAGCCACAGAATGCACATCGAAAAAAGGAAAAGGCAAAATAATGCGATTTATCCATTAGTAATACCTTAGAGCTACAAATGAAAAAAGATTAGTGGAAGCACACAAAGCTGAGTTGGACGCTACATATTGAACATCGTGCAACAATGGAACCATCGTGATATGGTTACCTGATATGAATGTGCTGACTTGTCAAGGCTTCGTTTGATTATGAACAATCACCAGGGTAGGCAGCAGAACAGGTATTGCAAAAATAGATAAACGAACCATGGCCGACTGCCAGTCACAGACTGCCCTGTGATACCATACGATGCTAACAGACAATGGAGGACAAGGAAATTAAACTAATCATTTTGTTTAGTTGTAATGCATAAATAATAAGCTGATGAGAAATGAACATAGACGGAAAAACAGCTTACAGCCGGTGACAGCCAGACTCGCACCCATTGCGTCAAGCATGTGTTGCTCGACAGATTAGGCTACAGTCCACACTTTTAGGCACTGATGTTTTGCGTATAGCTCAGGAGTGCTAGTCTGCATCCATCTGTGCATAATCTCCCCTTGCACACAATAAAAAGCTGCTACTCAGCAGATAAATGCATGACTGATAAAGTGCTCTGTCATGCAGCTGCGATGGCCCTGTGTGACTGACCGATTGATTGATTGGTTGATTTGTCAATTGACCAATCAATCGATTGAAGTAAAGTTTAAACTGGCTATGAAAGTGGAAAATATTTTTCAGGAGCAAAAAGAAAGGAAATACAAAGTCCAACTTAGGAACAAAAGAAAGACACTCATTCACAGCTACATGCAGACAGCTTGGCCCAAAACTGGCTATAGCTTGGTTAATTTACACTGAAAGAAGGAAACTCAAATATTTCATTCAAATGTTCCTAAACTTCAGTCTGTTGAGGGACGACAAAGGGAATCACTCTGGAGTGGTTTGCACTACCATGGCTCTCCCAAAAGGTACACAAAATAGAAAAAAACATTTTGTCTGTATTAACAAATTACCCTTTTGTAATGCTGTGAATGTAGCTCCCACAACAAAAAGACCTTTGACAGGTAAGAAAAGACAAAATAAAAATACAGATGACCTTCAAGTTCAAGTTAGCTGACAAAGATGTTACAAACAGCATCAGCTCGGGCCTGGATAATCATTAACGTGGCAAGTTTTGGTAGCTTTTTCAGAGCCAACTCAGCCAATTCCAAGAAACTCTTTGGAATCCATGGCATCACACTGGCGTAGCAGTATTTGGTTTTCAGCAGCAAAAGTTAATTGAATTAAACCTTGGAATTTGCTTTTCCACTTAATATTGAACATATAACAAAATGACAATAGGGTTCTCAAAGAAGACAATAGTTTACTAGCATCAACTGCTTCAGTGTTTCGCTTTAATGTGTGATCAAAGTAAGGTATACTAGTGTTTTTTAGTTTACTCTCACGTGGTTGCAGCAAGTGGAAATTCAACTCGCTTCTTTGAATTTGGTAGCACAACTTTACAGTTAGTGAGCCAGTGCAGTGGGAGGGAGAATTGAACAAACAAAAAGAAGACTATGTGTAGTTATGTGACGATGTGGGCGGGACGTGTCACCACTGTCACAGGATGACAAATTTGTTACCGAGTCAAGCCACAGGTTCGAGACCATGACCGCAACACGTAGACCGCAGCAAACAAACGTTAAGACTCCTTTCTCAGGGCCAGATGACAATCTTATGCAGAGATGCAAGTTGTCACTATGACCCAGGTAGGTGGTCAATATGTACATGAATCTGTCTTTTGTGCACAAGCAAGAAAGTGAAACCCTCAAAAATGCCTGGCCCATTTAAATCTTATAAGCATCTTTTTTTTGTGATGATAACAGAGACCAGAATTTTCAAATTTCCTCTACTCTAATGGCAATGTCCTGAAGTGACAGAGACGTAGTGCAATGAAATTTCGTTGCTAAGGGCGCTAGTCTGCACAAGTAGTTGCACAAGACAGGGATGTGGCGAAACACATGTTCACAGAAGCACGTATGTGTGCCAATCAACCAAAGAAAGCAGCCCAGTGACAGTGAGAGATGCATTGCCCAGTACTACGGGATAATTGAATGTGCTAAACAGGTATTCCTTATAGGTTTATGCAAGTATTGAGTTGTCATAATCAATTGCATTTTAAGGACCACTGGCCCAAATCATGAAAGAAGCATGGAAGCATCACATTTGTAACATCATGCATGAGTGTAGTGTACTTGTATATAGTCTATTTATTGTCGCGGCATGTTTGAAACAGGAAGCACGGGCAATACCAACAAATAAGCTTTGTTGTGCCATGTCCAATTGTAAAGAAAGAAACCTGCCACACTATTTCAGAGACTTCTGCACAGAAAGTGCAACCAGTGCAAGGATGTCTCACTTTGGAGAATTATTTCTGAAAATGCAACGTGCATGCAGAATGCATGACGTTTGTGACCTCGCTCAAGCTCAGCCACGGGTGTGTATAGTATACAAAATTGATTACACTTAGTTTAATTAAGGGGCAGGAATTCATTGATTGACAAACTACTTGCCTGTTCAGCATCAGCATCCAGGGCGGATGTAGCCTCGTCCAAGACTAGAATGAGGGGCCTGCGTACAAATGCTCGCGCGAGCGCAACTCGCTGCTTCTGTCCTTCCGAAAGCTGAGCCATGCCCGAGGTACACAAGGGTGTATCGTACCCCTGAAAAAAAAAAAAGAAAAATCGTAAATTGTCGAATGAACACCTGGTCGTGGACCAGACTTTATTGCAAAATAAATCAAGGACAAATGATTATCCCACTACTCAGAACTTGCATTTATTAAGGCTGCCCGACATGAACATGCACCCACCAGGGGCAGCTGGCTGACGAAATCGTGCAGACGTGCCATGCGGGAAGCCTCCTCCAGCTCTTCCTGGCTAGGTACGCCGGAAGAAGGGTCGAGGCCATATACCACGTTCTCTCCAAGCGTGCGGTCCATCAGGCACAGCCGCTGTTCACAGGCTACTATGCACTGCCGCAGGTATCCCACGTTTATTGCACGCACGTCCACTCCGTCCAAGTACTGCGCGAAATCACAATAAAGCCAGGGATCAACAACTGCAAATGGTAAAGTTCAAGGTGACAAGGCAGCTCTCAGAAATGCGCCAAAGTCAACTTGGTGTCAATGTTGACAGAGCTTGTCTTAGCGGAAGTTGAGTTTATTTTAAGAAGCCCACAGGATCTGTGAAAACTAACAGCTAGTAAAAATGGTGCTAACGTAGTTCGCGCTAAAGTGCATCTATTCGTTCAACTTACAAGCCCATTTATCATCAACCTCCAAGCCTTTGTTCTTCCCAGGATGTTTTAAAAAAACATAAGTTAATATGATCGCCCTTACACTGAAAAATCATGTGCTGCTTTTACCTTTACATTTCAAAGATTCCACTTGCACAGCGCACATCAAAACAAAGATAACTGTAAAATATGAGTGTGCGATACATGCGAGTTAGAGGTGCGACTTCACAGCAGTGCAGTGTGCATTGCTGTGAAGCTGGACAACATTTAGCACACATCAGCTGTAATTGCAAGGAAGATGGAGCGCACATAACAATATTACTTCTGAGGTTTTTGCTTGTATAAACAGTTATGAAACTTCCCTTTAAAAAATTGTTAGTATTGTTGTATTAGATTAGTTACGTGGGTCATACGCACAGCCAGCAGCTTTTTTTTCCAGGGGCATGCTAAGATTCGAATACTAAAGTGCCAGAAGCTAACAGAATTGAATATAGAATGCTTTTCAGAGAGTATCCAAAGATGTAACAACCATTTTTGCAAGTAATGTAAAGTTACATTCACAGTCTAGCAATTGTAATTTTATCATTAAAAGCACCAAAAGAGCACAAGGAGCAGATAAGCTCTTTGAATGCACAGAATACAACTATCATTCACAGTCCCTTCGCAAAAACTTCAAATGACAGTTAAATAATCCATAAGACATGGCTCCCTGGGCAATGTAACCTGCACTACGTAGGTTCTCATGATTAATGCTCAAACCATAACCTCAATAATACAATTGTCATACTTTTGCACCAACCTTGCACTTACCTCAGTGGAAATGACGCCTTCAAATATTTGTAAACTATTTGAAAAGTACTCGACAACATATCGAGCGCTAACAAACAGGGATGTGAGAAAGACGAAAACACAACGCGCCATAGGCGTATCAGCCGGCGGGGCTGATACACCACTGCAATGAGCTCTTTAACGTTTCTGTCAGTGCTCAATATGTTGTCGAGTTCCGTTTACCAACAAGCCCTAAAAAATGGTATTTGAAAAGTGTTCTTATATACTAACAGTGCTTATTCAATTTGAGTAGCGAATAAAATAGAATATTAAAAAATAGAAATAGGGTAGCAGGACAATTCGATATTAGAAATTTTTAAATACTTGCACTCCACTGTTTAGGAAATGAAAATCAAACTCAATTTCAGACGTATAATGCCCCAAAGCAACTACCAGTTAATGAGAGACATCTCAGTGGAGAATTCCAGAATAAATCCAGCCCTGATGAGTTGTTCAGCATACCACTCAATCTAGCAGGTTCACACAGTGCCTCCACCAAATGCGGCCGCCACATTTGGGACTCGAACCTGCAAACTCGCGGCCTGTGCGCAATGTATCAGCCACAGAGGCACCGCGGCATCTGGGCCCAGCTGAGAGAGGAGGGGCTCACCACTTGCCCACACTGGGGGTCGTAGAAACGCAGAAGAATGTCGACCACGGTGGACTTGCCACAGCCGCTGGCCCCTACCAGTGCCAACATCTCTCCGGGGCTTAGCTCGAGGTCAAGCCCTTGGAGCACCGTGACCTGTGGTCGGCTCGGATAGGCAAAAGTTACCCCCTTGAGGGACAGCCGGCTGCTCACTTCCTGTGGAAAGTTTCACACAAAGAAGTAGGCAAGCTAATAAATATGCATAATTCAGCTGATTCACACACTCCTCGACGTGGAAAGTCATACTGCTGCATCAAAACTGAAATTGCCACTGTGCACGCTATTCCAGAGTTATATAGAAGATTTGACATGTGCAGAATGGTGCTTGTCCAGCCCAAAATATTGAAGAGATTAAAATGATATAGTGAAAGTATTGCAGAATAAGTATACAAACACAAACATAATACAGTGTTTTATTAGGTGCTCCATTCTCGTACTACATGATGTCTACAGCTGACTGAGACTATCATAAAATAAAGCTAGATGCACTTAAAGGCACCATTTTCAGATACCAGAGGCTGGGAAATCATCAGCGTACATACAGTTATTAAACTGGCCCATTAGTAGCATTTAATACTAGCAAAGTCTAGAGAGTGAAGAGAAGCTTGTCCTTAACTCCAACACAGCACCAATGTAGAAATTCCATTAGTTTCAATTCAATCCGAAAGGGAAGTTTCTTTTTTTGTGTGTGTGCAGAATGTTTGAGAAAAAATAAGACAGACAGGACGTCTTTTCTCAAATGTTCTGCACACAAAAAAAGGAATTTCTTTTTAGAATGCAATACCAACCAGCCCAAGTAGCCTCTCTGTTTTCATTCAATTATTCTTGCGTACAAAGCTCTCAGCACAGTAAGATTAAAGGGACACTGATACGGTTTTGGCGATTTTCGTACAAACACATTGGGCCAGTAGACCAAGTCTCAAGGATTATTTAGAGACCAATTTGAGCTCTCTGTATAAACTGTGTAACTTATTATACCTTAATTAAACTGGGAATCACTGCAGATCATTACGACTTAGCAAAACACGTTTTTAACCACCCATTCACAAAGCGACATACTCTGACCACTTGGCAAGGCCAGAGCACGTCAGCAGCCACATCACCGTGGCTGCTGATCTGAATGGCTGTAGAATGCGCGGAAGCAAGATCGGCTGGTAGGGTGGCGGCACCTCTATGTTGCCAGACAGCATGCGGGCTGCCCGGCGCGCTATGTCATGGCCTCCGAGACTGCGTGCAACCTGTCAGTGTGCCATCTCTGAAGTCTAGACTGGTAAAAGCTCTAATTGTCGAACACACTTATGAGAGCTCAGTGATCGCCAGCAATGCCAGCGTTCCTCATTAGTTGAGGAGGCCAGGCAGAGGTGAGGAGGAGGGTATGATATAATTGTCCGTAGTGGCTTTGGTACACGGCATGTCACTAAATTTGTAATGCATGTGCTTTGATGATGCTCTAGCTTAAACGCTGACAAAACTTCAAAAAAACACATTCAGGGTCCCTTTAACCGAAGAGCAGTGGGAAGTCAAGCTGTCAGGCACAGACCTCAATGAATTGCCCAGCCTGGCTGAACAGGCATGAGAGATGGCAAAGGCATGCGACCTCTGGGAATAAGGAGGTTGCACACCTTGGGGTGCACAGTGTGCTGTCTCCTACTGTGCACGTGTGCTATGTGTTGAACTCAAGCAATGGCGCTGAGCCGTGCTCTCAATTAGGGCTGCAGAAGTCGCGTCTTTTCCTTTCCTGAACCTCTCTCTCTCTCTCAAGCAAAAATGCAGACAACTTACAGGCCTCATGCCACCATCAGAGTAGCCATCAATTTCAGTCTCCGCTTCGAGAAGATTGAAGACTAGACCGGCAGACAGCCGAGCCCTAAGGTAGTCGGGCAACATGGAGGTCCACTGGCCCACAGACACCGCACTGAATGCCATCGTGAAGAACACCCTGGGCCATGGAGATTGTTCACAATGTAAGACAATGTAAGAAGCTTCAGATGACTAAGCAATAACATATTTCTCTAGTATAACCCCCCAAAGATATAGAGAAAATTTGGAGTTAAGGTCAGGGTGAGAGTTACACACAAATTTCAGGGGTGCAAGGTGGCTTCATAGCACTACCTTACAGTAATGCAAAAAAAGTGACTTTACGCCAATATGATTTATTTTTATCTTTACGATGCCTTGTTGTTTGGCGTGCACATTAAGGGATGGGTTTTTAACGTAAAAAACAGTATAAGGTTATGACCGGATGAAATAGCTATGTGACCTTTCTCTTCAGCTAACTAAAATCAAAACCACAGCAGAATACGGAATCAGCTTAAATGTAATCAAATTCATTTACAGAGATCCAAGCTTGATTGATTGATATGTGGGGTTTAACGTCCCAAAACCACCATATGATTATGGGAGACGCCGTAGTGGAGGGCTTCGGAAATTTTGACCTCCTAGGGTTCTTTAACGTGCGCCCAAATCTAAGCTAGACAGTCCAAACATTTGAGCTACTAGTTTTACCATCTAGGGCATGAACTAGTTATAGTGTCACAAACAATTGCATACTTATGCTGAATGTGCTTAAAGGGTCGTGAAACGTTTTCAAAAAAGTTTCAACTACGTGTGTATTCAAAATCCTGGCTGTCCATTTAACACTATACCTCATCTCGTTTGACCATCTGGGCTCTCTGAATAACTAAAAAAGCGCAATCTCGGTTTCCCTACTCTCCGCCGCTCGTACTGGACTGTTTCTAAAAATTTTGCAGCGGTAAATTCGCGAGGCAACAAGCTTCTTTACTGGCTCCATGGCTACTTGAAAAAGTGTTGCAGGGCCCCTTTAAATGAACATGTTACCCTCAAATCAATTCATCATTTTATTAAGCCTATGTAAAATTTGTTTGAATATTCAAAGTGTTCGAATATTCACGCAAGTCTGCTACAGAGCTTACAATGAGTGCTACGAATAAACAAACAGCTTGTGTACTATCACTTACCTGTAAACATTGGTGGCTTCCATCTCGCCCCTTGTAACCAGGAAGGCACCCAGACGAAAGGCACAGCCATACACAAGGAACATAACTCCTTGTGAAAAGGCAAAGGCAAGCGCAAAGAGGATGCTCCGTTTTTGCGATTCTCTGCAGACAAAAGTAACAGAATTTTCATGGTACAACATGTGCATGCTTCTGGTTCAAGCATAGCCTCAACAAGGCATAGCTTACACAGTTTCTATGACCACCACTAATTACAATGTCAGTAATGAAACAAGTTGACTGCATACTTAAAAAAGGTGCACTTTGGCAGGAGCCAGCTGATAATAATAGTTTCAATCGAACGACTTACCCGCTTAGCTGATGTATGCAGGAACACTAGCACCTATTATATGTACATTTTATGTTTAAATGCCATTGTTCTCATGTGTACTAGCTGAGAACCGCGACTTATACAACCAAGACATTATCATCTGCATGTTTGCCGACTATGTATTTCCTTGGGAGGTCTTCAATATTCCTAGTTGCTCGCTTGAACATGACACGGTATGAATTGCCATTAATGATTCTGTTTCATAATTCGCAAGTGCGCTTCTCTGCACTGCATATTTTAACAAGTAATGGTGGTACTTGTTGTGCTTCAAGCGGAGACGTGGTTCTAGTTGAACCACGTCTAGTTCTCGTTGAACCTCTCTTGATATGAACGTACATATCAAGAGAGGCGACGCAGCATTTTCCACGCCATTGCGTAAGCGAACCGCGATTGAACAGGCTATTTGAACTAAATGAAAAGCCGTTGTTAGTTGCTGAAACTGCATAGGAGGAAAGCTAACTTTACAATTTTGAAAAGGGTCTACGTGCCGAGCTAAATTTTTAGCAGACAAGATCTTATCTGTAAACTTTGGGTTCTGTTCCAACTCCTAATGAAAGTCTGAATAAATAAAAAGCCAAGATGGAAAAGAAACAAGAAAGATTGCTCATAATGAACTTTAAAAGATAACTACTCAAAAGCAACATCTATAACTATCTATCCACAGACAACATAATCTCCAGTGCTGTAAGTGAGAGTCAGAAAATCCACTCACAACATAATCACCAGTGCTGTAACTGAGAGTCAGAAAACAAACCATGCTAATGCCGAAGTTAACTTTAACTTTGCTAGGTTTGAATCAAATGAATGCTCTACATAGTTCTTCCAGTTAGTATGGCAGTCTGGCTTCAAGCATATTTCACCTCAGGACATGTCTCACGAAGAAAAATAGGGTGGTCTGTTTACAAGAGCTGCACAGGCATGACTAAGAAATATGCAGGTCTAAGCTGGAGGCAGCATGTCAGCAGCCACAGCTCAAGAACAGCTGCATAGGCATTTGCAGCTGGCATAAACAGGCCGTTGTCATTGCAGATGATGATGGGATAATGATGATGTTGATAAATAAGGAGCAAACAATGTCTCTACTACATGTAACCCTGCTATGTAAAAAAAGCCACTGACTGCGTAATTCAAAGACGAAAACGAATGTCTTTCAACATTGAACTCACATAAGTGGCACCAGTAGATGGCTGACAAACAGCCCAAAGAAGGTAGGCTCCAGGTTCAGCTCTTGAACAGCCTTGATATTTTCTATGCTCTCCGTGGTCACCTTGAGGACAGAAAAATGGGCACTGATGACGAGAAACTAACATATGCTTGATATGCGTGCAATGGCTTTAAAACACCGATGCCACATTTACAGAGTGTGCTCTGCCTTATTATATGTATGCCGCAAACATTGCAGTAGACAGTTCGCCCCAGTTTCTTTATACACACTGTTTGCGCATTTACGTAAAGCTGCTTAAAGACAGGAAAATACCATGAACTAGAGACAACACGTACTTATATATTTCATGAAAGTGCAAGTGACACTTCATAAAAGCAAATGGGGTAAAACAAAAGGCATGTGTAGTTGATAATAAAAGCCTGTAGCAGCCTTCTTCATTATGAAATAAATATTCTGAAGAAAAAGTCACACACCAAATCACCCGTAAAATTTTATTTAAATATTGTTTAGCTTGAAGGTGTTGGATTGCATGACATCAAGAAGTGCAATACCGCATCTACTCGCGTTATGGACGCACTCGCACAATAAACGCACCCCCAACTTCAGTCGTTGAAATTTGATTTTTTTGTTCACCCGCATAATAAATGCACCCTCAACATTCATCTGCTGCAGCCTCGCAAACCCATACATGGCACCTCCTTGCCCGTTGCATCTTTTCCATTTTTTATTATGCCGACCATCCTCGGTTACTTCAACTCTCTCCCTCCCCCTCGCCGTTTTGTTTTTCCTTCTACAGTAAACTCTCAGTAAACAGAAATTTGTTGAATAGAACTGCTGCTTAAACAGAGCTATTGCCTCTGCAATGCTTGGTTTCGGGCTTGTATTCTGCACCCGTGTTCACCTCTCAGTAAACAGAACTGCTGTTAAATAAAACATAATTTTCCTATCCCTTCAGGTTCCGTTTACTGAGAGTCTACTATATTAATGTGCAGCACGTCCCTAGTGTTTTTAATTATCCATGGGCCAAGGCCAGATTCACGAACGGTGCGAGTGTATAGACATCGCCACTGACAAGCGCACAGCGAGTGAAGCTCACGAAACTGTCCCGCACCAACCAACGGTCCGCTTCCTGCCAATACGAAACATCAAGGCCCAACCCCAAGCAAGATATTTTCAGAGCTATGACGACGAGATTTGCTGTTGCCATGGACTGTAGTGAAACCCTATAGTCGCGAAGGGCACATTTATCGACATCGCGTCACCGGTTCCTGGAAAAACAAAAAAATTGCTTGTCACCTAGAAAAGAGTGTGACAATTTAAAAAAATAATGTCATTCATAGTACAGTACACATGTTTACACTGTTAGGGCATTTATTAGCCGGCACACAGCGAGCATACACAATGGCGACAGTAACGGCCAAGCACAGACCTCAGCGCGAGCGGTGTCCTTTTTGGGTAGACCCACTAGAAAGCACTTGAGGGTTCGACCCAGTTCAGTGTTCGGAGGCTTCTCTACAATTACCCCGGGGTCGAAGAGGGAGCCGCCTGGCGACCTAACAGCTTGTCAGTATGAGCGGATCATAGTAAGCCTTCAGGCCCGCGACGGTGCATGTCCGAAGATTCTTCAATTGGTTCGATCAGATAGCTGACTGGAGATGTGCGCTCTATCACGCGGTAGGGACCTTCGTATTACAGGGGTAGTTTGGAAGAAAGGCCAGCTACAGAGGTCGGGATTGAGAGCCATACAAGGGAACCAAGAAGGAACGTGGGCTCAGAAGTGGCGAAGCCATCACGAATACTCTTCTGCCGCTCTTGCTCAAGCGTCGTAAATGTCTTGGAAAGCTCGCGACACTCTTCAGCAAGCCTGGCCGTCTCAGAAATAGGTGCACACTCAGATGGATCCGGCGTGTACGGGAGTATCGTGTTAATGGTGTGTGACGGGTGCCTTCCATACAGCAAGAAGAAAGGTGAAAAACCGATCGTGCTCTGAGGGGCGGTGTTGTAGGCGTAGGCGACGAAGGGCAGTATAGTATCCCAATTCGTGTGGTTGGCGGCGACGTACATCGAAAGCATGCCACCGAGGATGCGGTTAAAGCGTTCGGTGAGACCATTCGTAAGTGGGTGGTAAGCAGTAGTTTTTCCGTGGACAGAATGGCACTCAGTGAGAATGGCTTTGACGACTTCTGACAAGACAGGGCCTCGATCGCTGAGAAGCTCATGGGGTGGACCGTGGCGCAGTATGAATCGATGCAGTAGGAAGGACGCAAGATCACGCGCAGACGCCGCAGGGAGAGCAGCGGTTTCGGCGTATCGCGTTAAATGATCTACGGCGACGATGGCCCAGCGGTTACCAGCCGACGTCGGAGGAAGTGGTCCATACAAATCGATACCTATGCGCCCAAACGGACAGTCAGGGCAAGGTAACGGTTGCACACCGGTTGGCGACATGTGTGCTGACGGTTTGCGGCATTGGCAAGCGAGGCAGGAGTGAACGAGCTGCTGCACGTAGCGGTACATCCCGAGCTAGAAGTAGCGTTGTCGAATGTGATGGTAGGTTTTGAATACACCAGAGTGCGTGCATTGCGGATCAGAATGAATGGATTCACATATCTCCGACCGCAGACTGCGGGGTATCATGAGTAACCACTGCCGGCCATCGGCGTTGTGATTGCGTCGGTGTAGGAGGCCGTCACGAATGGCGAAATGGTGAGCTCGACGACGCAAGGCACGCGTGAATGGCGTTGCGGACAGATCAGAGAACAAGTCGATCAGCGGGGCGATCCAATTATCCTTTCGCTGTTTGGTAGCGATGATGTCAACATCAATGGGAGAAACAGCAACCGAGAATACTAAGCAGAGCATGTAATCTTCAGGCAAAGGGGAGCGCGAGAGGGCGTCGGCGTCAGCATGCTGGCGTCCATTGCGGTACAGCGCGCGGATATTGTAGTCTTGTAAGCGAAGAGCCCAATGGGCGAGACGGCCTGAGGGATCCTTCAATGATGACAGCCAGCATAGTGCATGATGGTCGGTGACAACATCGAATGGACGACCATACAAATAAGGTCGAAACTTTGTAAGAGCCCAGATGATTGCCAGGCACTCTTTCTCTGTGACGGTGTAGTTTGTCCCGGCTCTTGTGAGCGTACGGCTTGCATATGCCACGACATATTCAGGGAATCCGGGTTTGCGCTGCGCCAGGACTACGCTGATGCCTACACCGCTGGCGTCCGTGTGCACCTCCGTTGGAGCCGAAGGGTCGTAATGGCGTAGAATGAGAGGAGACGTCAACAAATGGCGGAGCTTCGCGAAGGCGTCGGTCGCACTCGGATGACCACGAATTGAGGGGCCCGTTACTTCCAAGGAGCTTCGTCAGCGGTGATATGATCGTGGCAAAGTTTCGCATGAAGCGTCGAAAGTATGAGCACAGGCCCACGAAACTACGCAGTTCTTTGACGGACGCAGGTTTGGGGAATTCAGCCACAGCCCGAAGCTTGGCTGGGTCAGGAAGAATGCCATCCTTGGACACGACATACCCTAAGATGGTGAGTTGCCATGCTGCAAAGCGGCACTTCTTATTTAGTTGCAAGCCGGCATTGCTCACGCATGCGAAAACTTCTTTCAGACGTTGGAGATGCGTGGAGAAATCCGGAGCGAAGACAACAATGTCATCGAGGTAACACAATCACGTGTGCCATTTTAAGTTGCGCAGGACGGTGTCCATCACGCGCTCAAAAATCGCAGGTGAATTACACAGACCAAATGGCATGACGTTGAATTCATACAAGCCGTCGGGTGTGATGAACGCAGTCTTCTGTCGAGCGTCATCAGCCATGGGTACTTGCCAGTACCCCGAGCGCAGATCGAGAGAAGAAAAAAAAATCGGCTCTGTGAAGGCTGTCAATTGCGTCATTGATGCGCGGAAGGTGGTAAACATCCTTGCGAATGATCTTATTGAGCCGTCTGTAGTCCACACAGAACCGCACCGAACCATCTTTCTTTGCAACAAGAACAACAGGAGACACCTATGGACTGTCCGAGGGCCGAATAACGTCGCATCGGAGCATATCGTCAACCTGCTCGTTAATTTTCCAACGTTCAGCAGGCGACACGCGGTATGGACGTTGCCGTAATGGTGGATGGGCACCAGTGTCGATACAATGCGTAACAGTGGACGCGCGACCGAGAGAACTTCGCCCGACATCGAAAGAAGAACGGTATTCTTGCAACAGGTTCAGAAGCTGGGAACGCTGTACCGACGTAAGTTTGTCATCAATGTAGGGGCCAAATACATCAAGAGATGATAGATCCGAACTGGAAACAGCACTGATGGTACGCGAGTTGGGACAACGCGAGTCATCGGGTACGTCTAGGACTTGTGCGTCAACGACTGGTTCCACTCTGCTGAGACATTCCCCTCGAATCAACGTAACAGTGTTTGGGGATAGGTTGGTCACAAAAATAGCGGCGTTGCCCTGGGTAATTAGCACGGTCGCGAAAGGTACTAGCAACCCTTTCCTTCTGCAAGCACGGTCGGATGGCGAAACGAGTGCAGTTGGGTCGGGGAGACCGGTGCAGTAGACCGATGCACCCATCGTCGAGCTTGGAGGCGCTATGGTATCGTCTTTCACGAGAACCTTGCTGAGTGTCGAGGGACTGTCTTCTAACGTCAAATGCGAGAAGGGTGAGAGTTCAGGTTTGGCGGCGGCACAATGAATGACGGCATCGTTGCGGGAGAGAAAATCCCATTCCAGGATGATGTCATGAGATCATGCAGGAATGATGATGAATCGGGCGACATACAGAATGTCCTGAACGACAACGCGAGCTGTGCACCCCGCTGTAAGATGAATAGGATGCGAACTAGCAGTACGAAGAGACAACCCAGAAATTGGCATGGTCACTTTTCAAAGCAAGCGGCAAAGGTTTTCGTCCATAATTGATACTGCAGCTCCAGTGTCAATAAGAGCAGATGCATGAACACCGTCCACAAGCACGTCAATGACATTAGATGGGCGGCTCTGAAGTCTTTCACATCGCGATAGCGTCGCAGTCCTTGCCTCGGGGACTGCGACGACTAGTTTTCCTGAGCAGCTGAACTTGGCCGCATTGGGGACAGGGAACGACGTCGTGGAGACGGCGACCTTCGAGGAGATGGACCTGGGCGAGACGGCAGTGGCATAGACGGCGTTTCTTCGTGATAGGGACGGCTGAGCTGGCCAGCAACAGGCGAAGAAATTGGAGCCAGCTGTACGCGATGGCAATAACGGGCTATGTGACCGGCGTAACCGCAGGCAAAGCAGATGGGCCAGTTGTCGGGTGTGCGCCACCTGTTCACCGGGGCAGGTCTCACCTATGTCCCAAGAACCGATGGACAGAACGGTGGCTGCATGGTGGGCTGAAGCTGAGGCTGAGGGGTTACGTCAACATACGTAGCGGGCATACCCGCTGCAAAGGACGGAGGTCGAGCGGCAGCTTCGGCGTAGGTCAGAGGGGCGGGTGCTGGAACGTCTTGAGGCAACCTGGCGACCACTTGGGCGTAACTCAGGGGCGCAGAAGCCGGAGGCTGTTTGGGGTGGTACGCAGGCATTACCTCTGCTATTTCCTGCTCAATCAGTTGACGGATGGGTGGAAGAATGGTAGTGGCCGATTGTAGAACAGCCGGTGGGTGGGCAAAGGGCAGGAGAGAGAACTGGCGCGCAATTACCTCATGTACGAAGGACTTGAGGTCTGCCAGCAGCTCCAACTGATCACATCTCGCCTCCAAGCTAGCAAGCCCTGCAACTCGTGGTGTAGAGCGACGGGTCATCAAACCCTGCCGGCGGAGCTCCTGTTAGCTCTGGCACAGCGTGATGACCTCAGCCACTGCGCCTGGGTTTTTGGCAAGCAGCATTGTGAAGGCATCATCGTCAATGCCTTTCATGACGTTCCGGATCTTGTCCGATTTGGACATGCTGTTGTTGGATTTCTTGCACAAGTCCAGGACATCTTCGATGTAACTGGTGAATGATTCACCAGCCTGCTGAGCGTATTCGCGTAAGCGCTGCTCGGCTTGCAGCTTGCGAACGGCAGGGCGGTCAAAAACGTTGGTGATAGCGGTCTTAAAATCGGACCAGGTTGCGAAATCGGACGCGTGGTTGTTGTGCCACAAACTTGCAATGCCCGCAAGGTAGAACACCAAATTTGTCAACTTGCCGTCCTCGTCCCATTTGTTGGGGACGCTCACGCGCTTGTAAATGGCGAGCCAGTCCCCCACGTCAGTGCCATCGGCGCCCGTGAAGATGGGTGGATCGCGGATCCTGGGGACACCAGGACAAGGGCGTGGCATGGTAGGAGGCGTTCACTGAGAGGCGTCGTGGGACATAGTAGATGGTAGGGTACGGGATCGTAGTTCCAAGAGCATCGAAAGGAATCGTAGCACTGTCCACCAATTTGTTAGGGCGTTTATTAGCCGGCACACAGCGAGCATACCCAATGGCGACAGTAACGACCAAGCACTGGACTCTCAGCGCGAGCGGAGCGGCGTCCTTTTTGGGTAGACCCACTAGAAAGCACTTGAGGGTTCAACCCAGTTCAGTGTTCGAAGGCTTCTCTACAACACTAAATAACCAGTGCCATGTGCGGTCAACTGCTACATGCTAGAAAGCGACACACACATAGTATCTTGCGCTTGACACAATTTGTGAAGCATGTGTACAGTGACAAAGTAATGCTTATAAATGTGAGTAGTATTTTTACATTTACTAATAAGCTTTCTGTATGGTATAGCTTTAGATTACTCAGCTTAGTGAGAGTGCAAGGTGACTCGATCAATAATACCTTGTGTAATACACAACAATGCTCCTCTGCACAGGATTGACGGATCGACAATGTGACATCAAAACCTTGGTATAATGAGTGGTATGTGCAATGACTTGAAATAATTGCATCATGCCATTACGAACCTGGCCACTGAAAGTAACGTTCGCTGTGATGCAAGCGTTCGAGTACAAACTGCACTGACAGGCTCAAACTGAAGATAGCAAAAACAAAAGTATACGCCTTACTTGGCTCTGAATTGTCACGTTTTACTCCCTGAGCATTCCACCCATGCATGAACTAGAGCACACACATGTGGCTTGACACTTTACTCACTTGAACAGCGTGCATCATCAGGTGTGCGCCGCGGCGCTGGGAGGCCTTTTCAACACGCAGCTGCAGTCCACCAGCCAGTGCCAGAATGGGCACAATAGCCACCAAGGCGAGGGCCAGCTTCCAGCCAAAGGCAAAAGCAAGCGACAGGCTCGTTCCAAGCGTAACCAACGCCGTGAACATCACTGCCAAGCGGTAGCCCGCTGCCTGCAATTGCATGAGGCTTCAACAGTGTCTGCCACTAAAGCGGCAAACTCAATGATGACACAGCACAGTGGTTACCAACGTTGAACCTGCAAGCACCTAGCACACAAAATGAAGCTATAATATACTAGTAGCCAGAAATCGCACAGGAAGGGATTCCACAATAAAATATTTGCATGCTTAGCTAAAGACATGAACAGCAGCTCAACACAAAAAAAAAAAACCTATCGTATCCCCACATCTGTAACCAGTGCAAACAAGTATATAAGTGTAGACCAATTTCATTTGAATTGTTCTGGGTGCAGCTTCACTGCACTACAGCTTGCACTGCTGTGAATCAGCTTGCACTGCTGTTAAGCTATACACTGCTGTGAACTAGAAAAAAGTCACGACTGTGGCTACGATCGAACACACAAAACAAGGTTGCTTCTAGAGTTTTGGTATTTTGATAGAATTGTGTAGGACTGTCTTTAGAACCACTGAAATGATCTGGCACACTATTTTATGTGTGGCTGATATGCGTGGAAAATTTCGTCGTTTGTCATTTATTAGAGGCATACTTCTCTACAGAAAGAGCATAGAAATTATTCTTCGAAGTGAATGGCAAACTATATTGCACTTTACTAGAATCAGTAGGGTGATTCCCAATACACAGAACTAAATGAACAGTGGTATCAGGCGACATAAAATTTGCCGTCTCTCATAAACCAGAATGTCAGGATGTCCAATAGCAGAAACCGAACTCATCAGACTGAATATGCAAATAAAACAACTACAAACCCCTTGATGAACTTCTAAAGAAGGACACGACCTACGACAGATATTCCTTTTTGAATCGTCCAAAAAGGTCAGTGTCATTATGTGAAAAAGCCTTTTATTTTCATAATAATTAAGGAATTCAGCTATACTCACAGTTTTAACAACAGGAACATCAGTCGCTAGTCGAGAGGCCAACGTGGCTGAAGAGTGGGACTCGTCGTCAAACCAGCCTATGTGCTGCCGCAGGATGTTGGCCAGCACAGCGACCCGCAAGCGGAATGTCAAGTTCTCACCAGCAATGCCTACGCCCAGTGTCTGCATAAAGTAAGCGACACATTTAGCAATGACTCTTGCAACAATTATCAGTGACTCTTGCAACAATTAATTATGCTTAGTGCAGTACAAAAACTACTATAAGCGACTAAAAACTTGGTTCCACAAATCTCACAAATTACTTAGAATCATGAGCGTTGCTTACAGCTTATCGAAGTCCACTACTCTACTGTATCTGCCAGAGGAACAATGATCTCGGAGTAACTGTATGAATGTGATACAAACCCGCACGAATTCAGTTACTGTAGCTGCATGCGATGTGAGGCGGGATATTTTGTTAGTGTTATGTCACAGTACGAAATGTTGTAAAAGGGCAAGAAGGAGCTGCATGAGATTGGTTGAGGCCCGAGTCACGATTGACATAGAGTGTACTAGAATGGAAGAATGGATCCACTGGAGTGGGCGGCAAGCGATGCGGGTGAAGCAAAAAGGGCGGAAAATTTGTGATGACGTTGTAGTCGCCTTTACTTGAAGCTCCGGCTGATTCTATTGACACAATGTGACTTCAAATTACGTGCGCTAGCAAATACTTGTGCCTTCTAGATGATTTGCGATGCACGAGCCTGCGGGACCCAGCTGCGCGCGAACCGGGTTGAAAGAAAAGAAGAACGTAGAAGAAGAGGCAGAAGGCAATCCTCGAGACAATCTAGCTGTGCTATGATTCTCGGGCACAAGTTCGCCGAGCCTACGTTAGCTTATTAAAAGAGTTTATTGAAAAGTGCGTTACAAATCTGGTGGAGGTGCTGGGTATGATGCCAAGCCCCTCTCGAGTGACGGAGCACAGTCCAGAACCACAGCGATTTCGACCCAACGAGCTGACGCCTGTTCATCAGCGCTGCAGTCGACGCCTACGTGGTGAGGGTCCTGAATTTTCACCTTTATCGACTTCGCTTGGCACATCAACGCCTGTGAATGGGTACGCAACTGACATGACAGCTCAGGTCACTCCAGCCAACATTGTCGTAAACCAGCCAATGCTACCAAAGCCTTTCCACGGTGAAAGCTACGAGGACGCAGAGGACTGGCTTGAGCACTTTGAACGCGTCGCAAAGGCTAACGGATATGGGGAAGAGCGCAAACTTGGAAGTGTTTACTTCGCACTGGAAGATAGCGCACGAACGTGGTATGAAAACCACGAAGCCACCTTCCGGTCATGGAATGATTTTCGACGGGAGCTGCTCGCTGCTTTCCCGAACACAGACCTCAAAGAGAGAGCTGAAGCTGCGCTCCAGACAAGAAATCAGCGCAATAACGAAACTGTCGCCATGTATCTGGAAGACATGTCCCGCTTATTCCGCCGAGCGGATCCAAATATGAGCGAAGACAGGAAGCTGCGCCATCTGATGCGAGGCGTGAAGCAAGAACTCTTTGCCGGACTAATTCGAAGCCCACCGCGCACCGTCGCCGAGTTTCGTTCCGAGGCGACTACAATGGAAAGGACGCTACAACAGCGAGCAAAATTATACAACCAAGATGCGATCGTCACTTCCTTGGACATGTTGCCACCAGCCTTCGGTAACGGCATGGAAACACTACGCGAGCTGGTGCGGTCTGTTGTGCGAGAAGAGCTGCAGAGGCAGCGTCTTGACCAGAACGCTCCAATGCTTTCGTCTCTGGCCGATGTGATCCGTGAGGAGGTCAGGCAGGTGGTACGCGAACCTTCGAGCAACGCACAGCCAGGGCCGCCCCTACAACAGAAGACGAGAATGACGTATGCTGATGTGCTACTACGAGGACCTCCAGGACGTGTAGTCGTCGCGGCAGCTACACCTATGCAGTACCCGATGCCGCCGAGCACCCTGCAGCCAACGCCAGAGAGGAGACTAAGGAAGAGCGATGTCTGGCGCACTCCCGACAGGATACCGCTGTGTTACCACTGTGGGGAGCCTGGTCATCTCTACCGAACGTGCCACTATCGCCAGGCAGGGCTCCGTGGTTTTCCTGTTAATGCACCTCAACCACGAAATGGTGAACGTCCCTTCGAAATTGAAGAATACCTGTCAGGTCGTCAAACCTCAAGTGGCTTCCAACGACACCAACCTCGGGCAACGACAACGGGGAGGTATAGATCGCCTAGCCCCCGACCTTCAGCAAGCTCCCCAAGGTCTCGCTCCCCAAGCCCGCGTCGGGAAAACTAGAGTCAGCGACCTGTGGAGGCAAGGCCGCTGTCGACGCTAATGCAGAAAAACCTCCATCGCTGACTCTGAACGACGACCGATTCAGAAACCGGTGCTTCGATAGTGACGTTGCTTCCGATTTACGTGTGTTCGTTGACGGCTACGAAGTCATCGGACTGGTAGATACCGGCGCAGATTATTCAGTGATGAGTAGCGGACTTTCTAAAATACTAAAGAAAGTGCTGACTCCTTGGAAGGGACCACAAGTTCGCACAGCAGGAGGGCACCTCATCGACCTACTGGAATATGCACAGCAAGAATCGGAATACGGGGTTTCACGTACGTCGCCAGTTTTATTGTGCTGCTGGAATGCTCAAGAGACTTGACTATCGGCATGGATTTCTTACGAGCTAATGGCGCTGTAATTAACTTGCGAGAATCTTCCGTCTCATTCTCGACTAGGCACGCGATTGGTACCTTTGAAACGGAAGAAAACGTATATGACCTTTGTATTGCAGATGATGGCGTCATGGTTCCGCCAAGATCGAGCATATCTGTCGCAGTAAACAACAAAGCATTCAGTGAATTCGAAGGATTTGCTGACAACAACACTGCCTTACTACTCCAAAAAGGAATCTGCATGGCACGAGGCCTTGTTAAGTTACGTGACGGATGTGCAAATGTTCTACTCACAAACTTTGGAAATGAGGTGCAGCACGTTGCAAAAGGAACCGTCATCGCCAGTCTGAATGATTTCGTCCAGGTTACGGAGCTGCGAACTTTTGAAACCAATGATTCTGATTTCGAAGACGTGGAGTCTGTCCTTGCAGCCATCGACATCGAGCCAGGCCTACTACCAAGCGAAAAAGAGCAAATAGAGCGTCTTTTAAGGGAATTCGCCGAATGTTTCTCGTTGTCATCTAAGGTTCGACGCACTCCTGTCGCTAAACATCGCATCATTGTCGACGAGTCAGTGAGGCCAATACACCAGCATCCCTACCGAGTGTCACCAAAAGAAAGAGAAGCTATTGGTAATCAGGTTGAAGAAATGCTCAAAGACGATGTAGTCCAGCCTTCATCAAGTCCATGGGCGTCACCTGTTGTTCTTGTGAAGAAAAAAGACCAAACCTTACGTTTTTGCATTGATTATCGGAAGCTTAATGCCGTCACCAAACGGGATGTTTATCCTCTGCCAAGAATTGATGACACTCTGGATAGGCTGCGAAATGCCAGGTATTTTTCCTCATTGGATCTTAAAAGTGGGTATTGGCAGATAGAAGTGGACGAAAGAGATCGCGAAAAGACAGCGTTTGTGACACCGGACGGTTTATACGAGTTCAAGGTACTCCCTTTTGGCCTTTGTTCAGCACCCGCCACATTCCAACGGATGATGGACACAGTGCTTTGTGGTCTTAAATGGCAGTCATGTCTGGTTTATCTCGACGATGTTGTAGTTTTCTCTGCTACCTTTGAGCAACATTTGGAAAGGCTCCGGGCCGTGCTCACTGCGATCAAATAAGCGGACTTGACGATAAAACCGCAGAAATGTCATTTCGGCTTCCGTGAGCTCCTTTTTCTCGGCCATGTCATCAGTGCAGAAGGCATCCGCCCAGACCCTGCAAAAACTGAGGCCGTAGCAAGATTCCCGAAGCCAACAGACAAAAAGGCTGTTAGGCGATTTTTAGGTCTCTGCGCCTATTATCGACGGTTCGTTAAAAATTTTTCACAAATCGCTGAACCACTGACACGGCTGACAAAAGAAGAAATGCCTTTCGTATGGCTTGCCGAACAAGAGGATGCCTTCAATGAACTACGAAAGTGCCTTCAAAGCCATCCTGTTCTGGCGCATTCTGACGAGGAAGCGGAAACCGATATCCACACGGATGCAAGCAATTTAGGTCTTGGGGCCGTGCTCATCCAATGGCAAAACGGACAAGAACGAGTCATTGCGTATGCCAGTCGCACTCTTTCGAAAGCTGAGGTGAACTACTCAGCGACCGAGAAAGAATGCCTTGCCGTGGTATGGGCTATCAGCAAGTTTCGACCATATTTATATGGTAGGCCTTTTCGAGTTATAAGCGACCATCATTCGCTATGCTGGCTGGCTAATCTCAAGGACCCATGTGGACGGCTTGCACGATGAAGCTTGCGATTACAGGAGTATGATATCACGCTTGTGTACAAGTCAGGTCGCAAGCACAGTGATGCGGACTGCTCGTCACGTGCTCCGATTCAACCTGCTGCTCCTGCTTCCACCGAGGATGGTGAAGATTTTATTTTCTTGGGAGCTGTGACACCATCAGAGATGGCACATCAGCAGCGATCCGACCCTGAGATACTCCTCTTGATCAAGTACCTACAAGGACAGTCTGTCGATGTTCCACGACCTTTTGTCCGCGCCTTGTCAGCGTTTGTCCTACGAAACAACATCCTGTATAAAAGGAACTTTGACAACAATACAGCGACATTCCTGCTTGTCGTCCCTTCACCTCTGCGACCAGAGATTTGGAGGCTTGCCACGACGATCCATCAGCTGGACACTTAGGAGTAAGCAGAACGTTAGCACGCATCCGCACTAAATACTACTGGCCGAAGTTGCTTAGCTCTGTACGACACTATGTCAGAACCTGCCGGGACTGCCAAAGACGTAAAACGCCACCGCTAAAACCAGCAGGTCTCCTTCAACCGATAGAACCACCAGAAGCCCCATTCACACAAGTGGGAATGGACTTACTGGGCCCATTTCCTACGTCATCATCGGGAAAACGGTGGATAATAGTTGCGACCGACTATTTAACCAGATATGCCGAGACAGCGACTCTAGTTAAAGGATCAGCCGTTGAAGTAGCCGAATTCTTCGTCTCC